GGCAGGGAATTCTCCAAGTAAGAACAGCGTCGAAAAAAATAACAGCTGAGCCAAGAGCTCCGGCGTGGTGTACGCGTGCACGCTGTCTGTGTGAACACGCACACGCACATGACTGGGTCTGCTCAGGCTGACAGACCGCTTCTCATTGGTTGACAAACTCCAGAAGCAGAAAATCAAGATGGGGACGGTTTGAGAAACATAATGACCTCACTGGTAACATAGCTCCGTGGTTAGGTTTGAAAGTTGATGCTACAGTGGCAATAGAAGCAGATGAGAAACATTAATCAAATCAAATAAAAACATAGCTTTCATCATCAGAAAAAAAGAGTCTTGACCATGTTGGGTGGAGAGGGGCAATTGTGAGCATTACAATAACTGTTATTCGTTTTATTAAAGACCTATTATGCGCCAAAATCTTGTTTAATGTTTACAATACAACTATCCACATTAGGGTTTTTGTTGGTATTTTACAGATGGGAAAACTGGACTCAAAGGTGAAGAGTCTTATAAGACATTCCAATCCCCTACTGGTGAGAGAGGTCCAAATTACCGTCTAAGTATGTTTGCCTCCAGCTCTTAAGCTACACGTCTTAGCCTGTGGGAAACATAACCTTATGCAGGGTTTTGCTAGAAAATATACCACGGGGTTGGTCAGCTTCCAAGGAGAAGTTGTGGTTTTGGTTTGGTTTGGTTTGGTTTGGTTTTCAACTTTGAGGTTTGCTTGGTGTCAGTCTGGAAGTTAGTTGAGCCGGAAGCAGGTAAGGGAGACAGGCCCCTCTGGGAACAAATTCCTCTTCTAGTTCACCTTCGAGGTGTTTTCTCCCCCTTTAGCAGCAGCTAAAACCTTTTATGAAAGAGCCAAGCTGTCTGAAAGTATTCCTGTTACCATCTTGAGGATATGAGCTGAAACATATCCAAAGTAGTTTTGTCTAATATCTTATTTTTTCTTGAACAATAACCTTAAACTGAGCATACTCTCTCATGTACATCTTGAACATGCTCCAGAATGTGCCTACCTTCAAACAACTTTATCATATTAACATATTTAGGTTCCCCCTTGTGCCCCAGATAAAATCCCGTGGCTGCTTCCTTTGTTCATTAAGGGTGTTGCTTTGGAGATAATCACCACACTCCGTTACCTGCTTCAGGAAATGAATCTTTCTTCGCTCTCATTTCTTGGCCGTGTTTGCTTTGGCCTTGCATGACTAAGATGCTAGCTCATCACTTTCAGTTGGAGTGACTAAAGCGCCTTTCTCTCATCAAAAGAGCAAAACTAAAATTAGGCCAGTGTTAAATCCTCTGCCCTGCATTATCTAACCAATTTCTATTCAAACTTCACCAAAACAAAAGCCGTGCTTGGAGTGGGCGCATAGTCTAAGAAGCTTGCTTGAGGAAACTCAGGGATAAGAAGCGTGGTTTGGGCTTCATAACAAAGTCGAGAAGGCAGAGCTGGGAGATCAGAACACAGATAGGAGCTGCTTCCAGGTTTTCTCTGCCTCTCCAGGTGAGGCCAAGCCTTTCCAGTAGGGTTATTGTTTGGATTTCTCCCGGTGATTTGAGAGGCTATCACATACCATAGGGCAGCCCTTTCCACTCCCTATCTCTCTGGCGAGTCTTCAGAAAGCTCACATTCTCCCTCCCTCCATTGGGGTCCCCATGAAACCTGTCTCACCACAGTGTTCTGCATTGCCACACTGGAGCCTGTTTAAGCAGGAAAGGCTGGCGGGTTTTTGTCCTTCTCCTGGGGTTTCCCATCCCTTCGTTAGTTTGGAAGTGAACAAGGAAAGGGGAGACCCCTCTTTATTAGCCCCCCTCAAACATCAAGTGTGCCCGAGCATGGTCTCAAACCACTTTTGAGATGCATACTTACCAGTCTCCCCGACTTCTATTTATGAATTGCTTTGAGATTGCTGACTGACCTGACTTGGATGGATCCCGGCTCAGTCCTGCCAGTCCTGCCAGAGGTCTGGAGCCCCCAGAACATCAACAGGAAGGGAAGGTGTCAGAGGAAAACAGTCAGGGGTTGAGCACATACCTCCTCAGGCCTCTCTCGTTTTCAACCAGAAGAGAATTACATCTTAGGGAGAACACAGCCTCACAGTTTATATCAGTACTGAAATTCTTACCATGGTCAAACTGGGTTTACGGCCATGTTCTTATCACACTTATGAGGCCTCATAAGCTGTCCCTGGGGTGGACATCTTCAGTCAGTGTTGAATAGGATCCTTGGCGTCTTCAGCTGGTTTTGACAGCAATACTGAGAGCAGGGCTGGGCTTAGGATACAATTTAAACATACCCAAAGTAGTTCTGGCCTCCATACGCACATCCACGTACATGAACACACACCGTCCATGTACCCACATACTCACAAGAACACCTAACACTCAGATGTAAACTATCCTGGGACTGAAGGATTTCAGGAGACATGGAAGTAGGGACTATAGCTGGATAGTGAGGGTTCTTGTGAAGGTGCTATTTTGGGGTAATGGGGGAATAGAGGATGTCCCGAAAATCATCCTTCTCTTTGATGTCTTTACCCTTCCTTGCTCCAGAAAGTAGACATAACTTTTCTGGATACCTTGCCAGTGGTTTCTCAGTGGATTTTCAGGTCGATCAGTGATGTGGGATTTCCCTCTGTATGCTGTGACTATCATTGGTAAATAAAGAAACTGTCTTAGACCTGTGGTTAGGGTATAGTAGAGCTAGGCGGGGAAAACTAAACTGAATGCTGAAAGACAGGGAGTCAGAGTCCAGGAGAAGCAATAGAGCTGCCAGAGACAGACATGCCAGAACCTTGCCAGTAGGCCACGAACCTTGTGGTAAAATATAAAATAATGGAAATGGGTTAAATTAAGATGTAAAAGCTAGCCAATAAGAAGTTAGAGCTAATTGGTAAAGCAATGATTTAATTAATACAGTTTCTGTATGGTTGTTTCAGAAATCTTGGCGGCTGGGAAATCAACAAGTGCCCTCCTACTACAAATCAGTTCTCCAGGGTGAACATTTCCTACAGGCCCTGGCAGCTAAGGCATTTCCAGGAAAATTGCAAGCACTGATGGATATTCTGGAGCACTCGGTGGTATGGGGCCATACAGTCAGCCACCTTGTATCTTCAAGGGCCATCTGGATCTACAGAGTCCATGGTTTTGAGGTCTATAAGGAATAAACTAATATCAAAATGTTATTTTTTGTTTTTAAAGATTTTTTTTTTCAATTTTAACTATGTATATGTGGGGGAGGTATGTACCCTCCGAAGCCAGATGCTGAATTCCTCTAAAATGGAGTTACAACATAGTTGCTGAGCTGCCTCTCAGATCCCATCTTCCGTTTTTATATAAGATGGGAAAACCAACAGTCAATGGGAAGAAAGTTGCAAGTGAAACTTTTGAAAATACCTTTTGATAATTCGGAACCTCATGAAGGTATGACTATTCAGAAATCCAAATAAATTCGCCTAACTTTCAAAGAAAGAGTAACGTGATGAATACTCGGAAAGAGAACCCCAGTGTCCTACAGGAGACCACAGTGTAGGACGTAAGTCACCCTGTAGAGCCTGAGGGAGCGTCCCTGAGAAGTTAACCTCAAAATTGGGACTGGAAGAATACATAGACAAAGGACAAACAGGTGATTCAAGGCTGCCCAGGAAAAAAATAGACTATATATATATATATCCACTCCCACAGCCCAGAAAGAGCCCTCCACTCAAAGAACAGAAAGACCTACAGCTAACTTAAATGCACAAAGAGCAAGCAGGCAGAGAAAGGAAGCAGCCATTGAAGGCTGTGGGAAAACAAATGCATAGCCTGCTTTAAAGTGACTGCCTTCGTACTCAGAGCCGTGCAAAGCCAAGGAAGAGGCTGAGGCTGGAAAGTGATGGGATCAGGGCTACAGTTTCGATTACTCCAGAGCCAATGGGGAGCCATGACTGGAGGAAGCAAGAGGGGACGTTGACAACTCAGATATCTGACCAATCACTCGGGAGAACTGCTTGGCAGTTCCTTTTAAAGTTAACCATACATCTACCCTATGACCCAGCAATTTCATTCTTAGGTGTTTTTTTTTAATTCGAGTTAAATGAAAACATATGTTCACAAAAATCTTTGTACAAGATTTTATAACGGCAATATTTTCAGATTCATAAGCTACACCAAAAAAATCCCCAAATTTCTCTATCAAAAAAAACCAATTGATAAACACACAGTTGTGCATTCATATCCCAGAATACTACTCACTTCTCAGTTGCACTCTAAATGATTCTTAAATCAAAAAAAAAATGACATCAACAGTAGGCACAGGTCTCGACATGCAGCATGATTCATTGATATGATGAAGTCCCTTTAAACAAAGACTACAGTCATAGAAGTTAGTGGGGAACACTGGCTAGAAAGAGAAGTTAAGAAATGTCCTAGGGTGATAGACGTGTTTTGTGTCTTTTATTTGGCAGTCATACATTCTGTATGCAATTGTCAATTCCATCAAAGTGAGAAACTGGGCTTGGACCCTTTATTGTCTGTCATTTAAAAAAGAATAGATATTAGGGGAGGCAGGAAGTGATTTCAATAACAGGGAAACATGAAGGCAGCCCAGCTGCCTACACAGGGATCAACTGATGTATATAAGTTAGCAGTCTATACATAGCTGATAACAAGCCGCGTGGCTTTATGTAAACCATGATGCTCAATGCGCAAGCGTGGAATTGGCTTCACCTAACCTATTTCAAACTATGGTGGTGATGCTGACCTTCTGAATTTCCCCTGAAACAGCCCCGCTTGTCTGTTGTGAAATCGCAGGGTGATTCGTCATGATCTCCTTGTTGATTTGTCACAGTTTGGCAGGAAATGCATGCAACTACTGCTGCGACCCGTCAGACTACTTGACCTTGGGGTAAAAGAGAGTGGGGCAGGAGCTATTTTTGCTAGAGGTGGAGGGCAGTTTTCTACTGAAAATGGGACTTTCCCAAACAACCCCTTCCCCCCAAAAAGGCATTCAACTGTTGGGCTTCAGTCTTGAGTTTATTTATTTATGTATTTAGGATAATTGGAGCCTGGAGGGTACAGCAAAAAGGAAGCAGACTGTCAGTTCCCAAGACAGGGACTGTAATGATTAGTGACACAGGCCACCCAGGGTCCAGGGGGTTTGCTGGGAGCTCAGAGTAGATAGAAAATACATGTGGGCCGCTTGCGGTCATGTGCCTCCGTGAGACAGGCTTGGGGAAAAGTCCCAAACGGAAATCAGTCGGCAGTTACCTGAATGGCTGGTCACCAATCATGCTGCTGAGTTCAACACTTGTCAATGCATTTCCCCCCAGTGTGAATAATTTCATCTTTATTTTAACTTCATATTTATTATTTTCCTCTAAATTACCTTAAATGAGCAGGCCTAGCTAAAGCCTCCTTATTCCTGCTAATAGATAGATACTACATACCCTGATTGTCTACTTGGACTTTTAACTCATGAATGGAAGACATCCTTTATGGGGCAGAGTCTTAAACTCACAATCCATAAAGATCGTCTGTCAGCTGTAGTAGACAAATGTTCTGCTCTTATTCTGTGATGTCTGGCACCTCACGACTTATTTCCTATGTGTCGGTTTCCACTATAGCCTCTCTTCATGAGCTAGGATATCAAAAGTAAACATGACTTTTGACTCTTAGAGGAGCAATTGAAAGGCGAAAGTCACCTTTTCCAAAGTAGCAGGGCCTGCGTGTTGATTAAACCGCTCCTGTCATATCACTATTGCTGTGGTTCATTTGACCAGTCCCCTAATTTCCATGCATTTCTAAGCTTAGTCCCCCTATTGGCCCAAACTCTTCCCTTCTGCTTACGCTATCTAGAGCCTGCTTCCATCACTGAGACGGCATACGATCATCAAACATTTCGTTTCCTATCTCAGGCCTTTCAAGCTTTGCCTTCAGTGTCTGGGACACTCAGATCCAAGACAAGACTCGGGTGACAATGACAAGACACTTGAGCGAGAGAAGCGTGGCAAGCGTTCAAGGTAGGAGAAAGGGAGATGCTGAAGCCCGCGGTTTACAGCTGCGGTATTGGGTGTGCAGCTGCTCCATGGAGGTGGAGGCACTCAGACGTCAGGAGCTGAGGTAAATGCCTAGAAACCTCGTAATAACAGCACCAGGAGGAAGGTATGTCTAAAGGCAGAGTGGAAAAAGAAAGAAAGAAAGGAGGAAAGAAAACGGCAAGACTTAGGCTAGAGAAATCGCCCTAGATGACATGGCACAGAACCCCGGGATCTGGAGCCAGTTCTCATTCCTGCCCAGGGTGGCCCCTCTCCACTCCAATAAATTTCCTAGGCAATGAAGAGCAAACCAGATGCCATTTCTGCCTTGTAGATCTGGATTTCAGCGTTGCATCCTTGATTTGGAACGAATCCACCCGAACCTAATGATGAAACCAGATTACAAATGTTTTTATTTACTCTTAAAACACAAGGTTTTTTTTAAAAAAAAAATCCCCAAAGCCCATGAAAAGGCGAGCTGGAGCGGCGTCGAAGCCTGTTTGGATTTAGGTGGACTAGATCCAGCTTGAGTGTAAATTCGGGACTGTTGGCTTATGTAACATGCCAGTCGTCAAATTATTTTCACCTGTCCCATTTCGCTCATTTTTCCCCCACTTTTGAATGGGGAAACTGAGGCCTGAGACTTGAGAAAGCGCACACATGTTCCCGTGGTAAATCACCTCACCACCAGAGCCAACACTGCTCCTTCCTGCTCGTTCGGAGGACAAGCAGGGGCCAGTTAAATGTGGTGGCCTACATTGTTCATTCTGATGTTTTAATTTCGTTCCTGGGACATTCAGGTAAATATTAGCCCAACATTTCATTTCCAACAGTCTTTCTCTGTGTGTCTTTGGATTTTTTTTAACCCTTAATTATCTTTATTTTGCATTCTGCTCTCCCTGTCACTCCTCCCCTCCCCCTTCTCCATTCATCTCTCCTTCTTTCCTCACTTTCTCCTTCACTCACAGAAACGTTGGTCTGTCTTGCAAAGGGGCCATATCATGTGAGTGAGAGGCCTGAAATGAGAACCCTCTCTTTAGGTCTTGGAAACAGAGTATTTTCTTATAGATTTTTTAATTGTTTGGATTGTTTTGTCAGGGTAATGAAACCGGACTCTGAGGCCCCTTATCTGGGGCGGCCTGGAGGGGTCTCTGCAGTTTTTGTTTTTCTTTCCAAGCTGGTTCCTTACAAATGCGAGCCGAAGGTCACTCCCAGGTCCCGGAGATAGTGTTGGGTCATCAATCACGCCCAACACAGAAGAGTCACCATAGATAATCTCAGGACTGGAGCAAGGAGATGCAACGGCCAAAACTGTCCTGGGATTGCGTGCCCAGCAGAGGTGATCTGATGGATGGCTTTTGTCCAGAAGGTCTCCGAGAGTCACAGATAGATCCCAGCTTAGCTGTCCTTCCTCCTTTCTGGTTCTATACTCAAAGCCAACAAATCTGCACATACAGAAAAGACTTGAAAATTTCTCAGTCAATCTCATCATTGCGATTCTGAAAGCAACGTGGACGTGCTTCACAGCTCCAAGGGATGGGTCCACATGGGCCCTCAGCAATGATTAATCCTTTCTAAATAGAAACAGGCAGAAGCTCAGAAGGGACTCTGTGTGTTGCCTCTGCTGAGGACAAACTTTGCAAACTCAGTCAAGCCATGTCTGTTCTCTAGGCTTCGGCTTCCTTAGCCACAAATTAACAAGTTGGTTTATTTCGACCACAAATTAATAAGTTGGTTTATTTCTTCCACGTGATGGTGATAGTGGTGAGCACAGCTGGGCATGTGTGCTTCGAAGCCAGAGCCCAAACTAGCTGTCTCCCTCCACCTTTTTGAGACCAGGTCCTCCCCACGAACCTGTTACCAGTAAGTCCTAAAGATCTGCAGTCTCTGCCTCTCCCTGCCAGGTTTACAGGCATACACCCATCCCTGCCCACGCCGGGCGTGAGTTGAGGCGAGGGGCTTTTGCATGGGGATCTGAACGCAAGCCCTATTGCTTCTTTAAGAACTTTACCCATCAAGCCCTCTCCTTGGCCTTAGTTTATTGAAGTTAGCCTGGGCCACATCATGAGACCCTACCAAAAACGAACCAATAGAAACAAAACAAAACCCAACCACTCTGGGACAGATCTTATAATAGACACAGCGTCTGACCTCAGGGTCTTTTAAAGTGGAATAGAAAGAGTGTATTACAGGGGAAATAATATCATCTAAACTTTTTATTTCATTTATTTAGTGCGTGTGCATGTGTGTATGTGCCTGTGTGTGTGTAAGTGTGCATGCACGTGTGCACTGCATACCAGAGAGCACCTCTGTAGAGGCCAGAGGACAGCTTTCAGGAGTCCGGTTTCTCTTTCTACCAGGTGGGTCTCTGGGATCAAACTCACATTGTCCTGGTTGCTAGCAAGCAAGAGTGAAGACACTCTGTAATTCATCAACCTTTCTGGCTAGGGGCTTACGTTTAGGACTCTTACCAGCCTTAAAAGCTGATAGTTCTGACGTTTTTGTTTGCTTTTATTTGATTGGGCTTTTGTACTAATGTGTTTTGTTCCTCCTTGACTGCTTGTTTTCCGACAGAGCAGTGTGTAGGCCTAGTCTACAGGGAGTTTTCAGTGATCAGTTTTGCAGGCAGCGGTTCAGATGTGACCCAGAACCCAGTGCATGTCACCGAGCGGGACTTGTGGGCTCTGTGTGTGACTTTTCCAGCGTACCCCTATTGTTTTACTAAGGAACAGTAATGTTTCCAGTAAAGGGACACCTGGCGAAATCTTGAGCTGGTACGAGTTCCCATCACGGGGCTGGACAGGTGGCCCAGCGGTTAAGAGCACTGGTTGCTCCTCCAGAGGACCCACGTTAGATTTTCAGTACCAACATGGTGACTCACAACTATCCTTAATCGCAGTTCCAGGAGATGTGACACCCTCTCTGGCCTCTGAGGGCACTACATGCACCTGGTAAACATTCCTACATACAAGCAAACCACCCATGCACGTAAAATAGAAACCAAAGTTAAAAAAAAAAGTTCAAACCTAAGAACCTGCTGATGGGTAATGAAGTTCAAATAGATCATGGCCAAAATCTTCTTAAAATCCAAATCTTTTAGAATTGCACGCCAGGACCTGAAGGTATGCCCCAACAAAGGGCAATGGAAGGAAATTTGCTGGACTTTGAACCTCTCTACTGACGCATGAAAGAGGAGGATGACTTCCATAGACCCGCTGAAGATCAAAGGTAGGTTTCTTTCTCAGATTCTTTTACATTTTATTTTATTTTATTTTATGTGCACTGGTGTTTTGCCCAGATGTATGTCTGTGGGGGGATGTCAGATTCCAGGGAACTGGAGTTACAATTTTGAGCTGCCACGTGGGTGCTGGGAACTGAACTCGGGTCCCCTGGAAGAGCAGCCAGTGCTCTTTACCACTGAGCCATGTCTTCGGTCCCTGTTTCAGATTCTTAATCACTGGTCTTTAATTTTCCAATATCACAGCCTTGTCTATGAAAGATATAGACATTTTACTGAAATAAAGGCACATGGGCATGGGAAGCAGCCCTGTAAACAATTAGAGAATTCTTGAGATGTCTCCAGATCTTAATAAACCCCGTGTGTTAGATGGTGGGTTCTCTCACTAGTGAATGTGGCCATATCAAAACAAGTGAGAAACTTAGAGTTTAGTCCTCAGGGTAAAGGCTGAGGTCATTTGGGGAAATAAATCTAACTTCCAGCTCTGTGACTGTCTCACAACAGTTTTCTCCTATTAAAACATTGTCCCCAACCGGAACAATCTATGGCCACAAACAGCTGCTGCTTGGGCATCAGTGAACACTTGTGGGGCTTTTAGACGAGCCAGCGTGTCAGCCGATGAGTGGTTCTTGTCCACGAGACATACAGATGTCTAGGAGGCAAACTCACAGGAACAGTAGAATGTAATATGACACAAGGAATTACGGATGCTGGGAGGCGGTGCGAAAGGGGAGTGTCATTGGCTGTTCTGGGGCAGACCATGGAACGTTTCCTGGGACAGAACACAGAAGCTTAAAGAATGAATTGACTCGACGTGATGGGATGGTGTCTTCTGAATGAGGGGGATCAGTATGCACAGAAGAAGAGCAGAGTCAAAGTGTGTGTGTGCACATGTGTGTGTGCGCGCGTGGGCACAAGCACACGTGTGTGTTACAGGGTAGTGTAGAACTGCATGCAGTGGGAGTGCTTGGATCACAAGAAGAGGGCAGCGGAAAGTGGGGTGATAGAAGAACAGCCAGACTTCAGACTTTGGACAGCACACCAAGGGGCTGGACTTAGGGAGGAATCTTATCTCCTGTGATGCACTAACAGATCCTTTGGTGGGCATGACCCAAGGAGGTCAGAAATCCACTTGTCCTGGATAGCCCAGGTCGCGGACAGACGGGAGGTCAGTGAAGGACATCATCTTTGAGAGCCCTATCACCCTTTTGCTCAAAACAAACAAACAAGCAAAAAAAAAAAAAAGCAAAAACAAACAAAAAAAAACAGACACTTCCCAGGTAAAGCAGTTGCTCCACGGATTTAAAATTCATCTTGAGGATGTCCACAAGATAGCTTCAGTAGGAAACTCTTCATTCTCACCATTCCTCTCCCAAGAGACAGCTGAGCAGAGGAGGCCTCAAGTTACTCTCACTGCATCTTCTTCTAAGGGCTTCACTATTTTCATCCACTCTTAAAATGCATCTTTCCCAGAAGGCTCTCTGAGGAGGAAGCGTCAATCAAGAGGAAAGATAATGACGGGAAATGCTTGCGGTCACTTCACCTCAGCATTCTTGTGTCTTAGGGACACTTAGGGGTGCTTTCAAAGAGTGCATTTACTTCCAAGGAAAGGCATACACAAACAAAATTCCTTATTACTGGGATACTGGCTTTAAATCCAGGCTGCCCTGAAGTTGTTCTACCTCAGTTGACCAGTAGGTGTCAGAAGACTCCAATTTACGAAAACAAAGCCAGAAGCGCTTCAAAATTACTGACCTAAAGATAACAAATTTTCCAGTGTTCAGTTTTCTCAGTTAAAGAAAAAAAGCAGCAAGAGGAAATATTGCAACTGTGTGTAACCTATGTCTTCAGGAGTTTACTTAACTCACAAAATGGCTATAATTCCTCAGATTACCCACAGATACAAAGGGACCTACCAGGCCATGGCAGAACAGATTTGGTTGAAATAGCCATAGTAAATTTATGTCTTACGGGAAACTCCCTTGCATTTACACTATTGATCTAATAGAAATAATCTCTGCGATGATTTGCATTTATTTCTGAAGGAGGATGTTTTCCCTTCCTTGGAATAGGCTCAGGAAATGACTGAAAAGTCCAGGAAGTTAGCTAAACGCTGATGCAAATCCAAAAGGAAGATCTGCTGTTGGGGAGCCAAAGGGGTTGCAAAAACAAAGATACCTAGGAAGTGGGTTTCTCATTCATTTATGGAAAATGTTATCCGGGATTTCGGATTTAAAAGGAAGAGAGCTAGGAAAAAGGTGCATGCCCCTGATATCTTTTTCAGAGAATCTGTCAGGCACCCCAGCTTTTCCTGGCAAAGAAACTGTTAAGCAAGAAAATCTAGATAGGAGATGCCTAGGATTAAGGCTCTATTAAATCAAGGCTTCAATAGGAAATTGTGTCAACTATTCCAGGAAATACGTTTGGCAGGAAACTCCCGAGTCCTGAGTTGCTGCTGGTGGGTCCCAGAGCACTCCAGAAACAACTAGACACTTCGTCATACGGAATCTGTGCCTTCCACGGGCACACGTTGTGCCAGAGACCCTCAGCTGCACAGGAGCATTTCACAGTGCAGACAAACCCACGCCTGCCCCAGAACCTCCCACTCGGTGCAGTGACCCCGTGTTGTTAGTCCGGAGCATTCATTTTGAGTTCGCTCTATCAGATGAACAGCGCTAACAACTTCTTGCCTCTGAGACACAGGAGTACGCTTTAGAAATAAAGGTTTAGTTCCTCGAGCATGATTGCAAAGTATTATGTTTTGTGTGAAAATTGCTGACCTGGCCCCCTTGCATCCCTCAGCACCTTCACAGTTTCTCCTCCCTGCTCCCCCTGGCCGGTTCTCCAGCCCACACTCCACACAGCAGCAAGAGCAAAGCCCAGAAGGCCACCAACATAGAAATCTTTCTGGCTTTCCAACTGACTCCCTTATTCCACCCCAGGAGAGAATATGACCTCCAAGGTCTTTCACAACTTGGCCTCAGCTCCAGTTCCCTCCCACTCCAAGAATTTCGGGCTCCAATCATGCCGAAACAACTTGGTGCCGTGTGCCTACCTCCAGGCAACACAGGGTCAAGTTTATTCACACATTTGTCCTTTTCACTTAGGTAAAGGAGGACAAATGGGCATGGACTTCCTTTAATTTTGTTTTAATAAAACAATCTATCTGGGGATTATTTATGACATTATGACATGACAGTATTGACAGAGGCAGCTCCAAAGACATAAAGCAGACTCACGTATAGAAACGTCCTACCGGGTACAAATGTTGTATATCAGTGTATTTAGAAAAGATGTCCAACTGGAGGTAGTTAGTTTGATCTAATGATTAAATGTCTCTCGAAGAGCATCTGGGGTAGCTTTTATATTTCATGTTTTACATATTGAATATAGAGGGCCACTAGGCGGAACAGAACCAGGCTTCTAAGAGCCATGATCTCTGTTGCGCCTCCCCTTCCCCTCCCCTTCTCTTTTCAAATGTATGTGAGAAAACAACTTGAATGGTGAGCTAAGAGCAGCTGAAAGAGGGGTGAATTATGCTGGGCATTCGGAAGCCATTCTATCCAAGCTGAAACCATCAAAGTAGCGAGGCCAGAAAGAAACGATATCATAGGTATGACGAGCTAGTTGCACCAATTTGAGGGAGGGGTCCAGGGAGGTTTATGTTCCTCTTAGCATTTTCCCAGTACAGTGGCTGGCCCACAGCGGACCCTCATTCTGCTGTTTAACCAGTGTTTACAAAGTAGTGGTTTTTCCAGGTTTAAATCTTGTTACTACGACCTAAGTCCCTTTTCTGTCCTTGAACCTGCATTTGGGGACGACGCAAGGCAAAGCTGGACTTTGTCTTTCACGGCTTTTAGTTTTGTTTTGTTTTTAATTGCCTCCTCTCTCCTTCCTTTTCCTACTCCAGTGTTGAATATGCAGGAGACACTCCGCAAACATTTGCAAGGGCGAAGAAGAAATGGCAAGGGACAGAAACCTAGAATAAGTAACGCTGTCTGGTAGGTCTTTGTTCTGTAACCCATTTTTGACACAAGAGAATGTTCTCCGAGGCTAATGTTCTAACATTTTTCCAGAGAATCCTGCCGTGTGATGCCTTCTGTTACCTTTGCTTCCTTCTGCTAGCCCCGTGTCGCTGAAGTTCCTTGGTCAAGCCCCTGCCTAGCCCACCTGCTCCCCCCCCCCCCTGGGGGGTGTGGTTTCATTTTCCCTCTTTCTTCCTCCACAAGCAGATTTGAGACCTATGCTCTATGACAACTTCAACGCTAAGATGCAGAAGCATGTAGAGAAACCGTGCTGGGTGCTCAGAGTTGGTTGAAAACTTAATTTAGTAAGTAGATGCACACAACTTCGGATGGTACAGGAAGTCTCCCCCCTTCACCGGCACCCCGAGTTCAAAACAAAGACCACGGTTGACCATAGTGAGAAGGAAAAGAAAATGGGAAGTCATAAGCAAGAAGACCAAGGGCATCGTCCCAGAAGAGGCAAAACAAGAGTTCAGCCACGAAGACAGAATACATAGAAGATAGTTGAAAAAGACAGAGCGGACATTCCAGACAAGGGGAAAGCACACCCATCCCTACATACATTCACACGTGCATGCACCTACGAATGCAAACGCCAGGAGATGAGGGGGAAACTAGGTCTGGTTTTCTCTGTGACTTATCGCTCTGTCACGTGGTTCATACCCTGGCCACTTACCGCACAGCAAATGAAACGACGCCATCCTCAGACCTTTCAGGAAATTTGGCTACCCAATCACTTAATCTCTCCTTAGAAAGGTAGCCTAGCCGGAAGAATAAGCACATTCCTGGGTGCTAACAGGATTGGATGTGAGGGAAGCTAAAATCTCCTACACCACGCAACTGCTCTTTGGCTTGCCTTAAACTGGTTGTTTGGAGAAACTGCAGCCTCTGTAGGGACGGGAACAGGAATGGCTCCAGAAAGCTAAACTTTGGAAACAAAAACCTGATCTGTCAGGATTAGTAAACACCAGAGGCAAACACAGCCTCTTCTGCCCTTCCTCCTCCTGCTCCATCTAAGTAGAAATCCCTATGGGAAAAAAAAAAGACTTGTGTGTGACACCTGGCTCAGAGAGAAAGCCGGTTGCCAGCAGCGGCGGCTTCCAGAAGTGCACACCCTCCTTCCCAAGGCCCTTCTTGACTTCACTCCCCTTGCCATTTTTCATAACCCCTGCCACCTCCTTCCCTCCCAGAACCCCCGGCCCCTTTCTCTTTGTATTATCTCTGTAAGGTTCAACAATTTTGCCCTCTTTTCGAATCGTGTGCTCAATTCTGCAGATGCCATGCTTAGACATTGCGGCAGAATTTATTGTCTTTTCTCTTCTCCCCTCATCCAAACTAAGAGTCCTCAGAGGAAGAGTGTAAAACCTCCCTCTCAGTGGTGACAGAAATCCTGGTGGTGGTGTGTGGGGGGGGGAGGCTGATGGAAATCACGCAACGCATGGGCAGTGGAATGAAATACATTCCATTTTTGTCAGAATCGACATCTGTGGGAATTTGAAGTCAGACTCTTTTGCCATGAAGGGCCGCTGGTCAATTGAGCCATGGATCTTATAATCTTAGGATGAAAGCGTCTGAAGGAAGAGGACAGGGCTTTTTAGGAACCTCGGGTGTAGGCAAGGTCCATTTTGAAGCTGTTTGGACGAAACCTCTACAAGGCCAGCACATTTGCAGAGCATTGGGCAGGTCCTCCGAATCCCACCGGCACAGCTGCCGAGAGAGGGAAAACCGAGAGGGCTGAGCCCTTCTCCCAGTGCAGTTTATTTCTGGGCACAGAACCTCCAAAAACAGGAGGCCAAGGCTGACCTCTTTGGTCAAGAGTCAGCTCAACTTTAAAATTATGATCGTGTGTGAAGACTAAAATGGGAAAGGAAAAACTTGGTTCTCAGCACAGAAATGCTGAAAACCCTTAGCCTGCATTCCAGTTAGGGTCTTGCCCCACCCCCTGCACATAGATCTCCCTTTGGGGGTAGGTGGGTAGGAGACCAGCCAAGTTTGTTTCAAGCTTGCTGAGTGTCAGGGATCATGGAGTTTACCCTAGAGGTATCCAGTTTATGGATAAAACTATTGACTGTAGTGATTATGTTTTATAAACCCTAAAAAAAAAAAAAAACAGGACCTCGTGGGCAGGACTCATTGAGAGGGAGGCTGCCAGTCTTCACTCAGTCTCAGTGAACCTTGTGAACTGATGAAATGGATGGAGTTTAAGGATGGTGTTTGTTCAGGGCCCAAGGGTCTCCATAACAAGTGATCTCTACTGGCGAGTCAAAATAGCAGCAATTCTCAGACAGCTCTGGAAATGAGAAACCTGAAATCGATAATGATTCTTTCTGCAAACTCGTAGAATTCTTCGTGACTTTCTCTTTCTTGTTCAGGAAGTTTCTAGCAAACTTTAGTTCTTTTTTCTTGACCTATTAACTACAGAACTTCAAACTCTTAAGCATGTGACATTTTCTTCTGTCTGTGTCTACATGAACCACTACTTGATAGATAACAGTTATAGGGTTAAGGTAGACCCCAGTGTAATATGAATTCATTTTAATTTGATTACAGCTACCAAGATCCCCTTTCCAAATAAGGTGACATGCATAGATATCCAGGATTAGGACTTCAACGCATATTTTGAAGGATCACAATACAACCCACGGGAATGTAAAATGAGAGCAAAATTCGATGTAGAAGGGAAACAAAATCCCAAGGTTGACATGATATGATCTGGCTTTCCATCTGTCCCGCTGGGATACTCTCACCCTCTGGAAGTCTTGGATTCTCTCTGCAAGCAATGCTTGCCCTACTTACTTCAGAAACACTCTGCGAATAAAACAAAATCGCACATGATATTTTCTATTGGAAAGTGTTTCTACAAGTGCAAAGGATTATTATGAATTCATTCCAGATTGTGTTGACTTTCCCTTAACTTCATAACTACTTAATGAGTAGGTAATGGAATACGAAACACAGCCTGACTTCCCAGGAAGAGAATTTAAATTACATGTCTCCCTGCATTTGGGTTGGAGATAAAATTATAACAGAAATCTGCAGATAAGGCGAGTAGTATTGCAAATCCTTGGACAGAGCTTTTTATTCACTCCCAAGCAGGGTGGTATTCAAATGCAGTTAAAAGGTGGCAAGCATTTAAAGCACTCAAATCAAGAGGGACAATCTCAGCCATGACATCAGTTGATATCTGCATTGGCCATGGCTCGCTTGTTCTCTGTGTGGTCCGTATTACTGGATATGATAATGTCCTGATGGGTTTTATTTTATTTTGCAGTGCTGGGTATGAAACCCAGAGCCTCACACATGCTGAGCAAGCACTCTACCATTGAACTACATCTCACCTCCAACGCTAACATAGCTACTTTGTCCAGTGACTTCTCTGGATATAGCGACAGAGACCACCCAACTTAGAAAATAAGCCCAAGATGGCTCCCCGCCCCCCCCCCGAAGGATGGGATATACATAAAACAGAACCATTGTGTAAGAGGCTTGGAGCTCCAGCAGCAAGAAGAAATCTGTTTTCAGGCCACTGGACTAAACTTCAAAGGAAAAGATGGCCACCCTTGGAAATACCAAGAGGAGGATGATATCATTGGGGTAACAGCTTGAGAACTTTAGCCACAACCCAAGCATCATGTGATCTGCTTGCTCGTACTGACTTTAGATTGTGGGGGTTTGACGACCCAGGAGAAATCCCTTAAGGGAAAAAATAGCCAGCAGAGCATTTCTTAATCTCCCGAACAAACTGATGCTTCCCTTTCTCAGAGCTGGGAACGTAGGCTTCCCAGGACTATCACAGATCTTCAAAACCCACCAAAGCACACGCCAGTTAATAAACAAAATTTTATTTTCCTTTGATACAAAAATTAAATAGCAAGTTTTTTTTAATACAGTGATAAATTAGAGATTTACAGTACAGACATTAATGCAGACACACTTTTGTACATCCTTACAAGGAGGGTCTATTTCCTTTGAGATTCAGCAATTTATTCAGGGCAGGTAGAGCAGGGTTGGCCTGGTACCTCGATATCAAGCATTTGAATGGCCCCAGGTTGTCTCCAGGTTTCTGGAGCTGTTAAGAGGCATGAGGATCCAAGAAAACGCCAGAGAGCAACTAGCCAGACTGCGGCACAGAAGAGCTCTAGCTGTATTTTATCTTTCTGAAGAGTAGGATTGTCAATTAGTTCATATTTCTTATGAAGAGCTCAAGGGGCCTTCATCCTTGGGCCTTCTAAAGCCTCACACCAACTGTGAGGTAGAAGAAACTCAGAACCACCCAGAAGCCCACTAGGAAAGCTCTAGAAGGCAACTTAGCTCTCCCTATGCCCACAGTCAAGTCAGGCCCTTAGCCTATTAAACGTTCAGGGTTTTGAAATGTGCACAACCTGGGAAGGAGGACGTTTTTTAGAGGGTGCAGAGCTGCCCTTAACCCCTTTCTGAAGCCTTCTGGGATAACATTAGTGGTCATTAGCCGAACATTCCGGGAAAGCAGGAAGGCACAGAGCCTCAGAGGATGTGGCTCACAGGGGATTCCGAAAAGACTCTACCAACTGCCTGGGCGAATACGAGGAATTGGCTGCTGCAAAGAGGGGAATTAAGGCAAGTAAGAAACAGAAATAAGTAAGCACCAGGGCAAATGTGCTTACCAGGTGAAGCTTACCAGGTGGGGTGGGGCTGGGGGCTGGGGGCATGGCAAGGGACAGGAGCAGAGAGCTCTATCCAGGCACCAGTGGAGCAGACTAGGTTACTTGGGACTTCAGTATGTGATCCTTTGTAGGAGCAAAATGCTCTCTCGGGAGTTTCGAGGTCTTTGACCTAGGCATGAAGGGAAGATGATAACGGGTCCTTTGTCAGACATACTGCGAACCCAGACAGGGACTCTGACGTCAACTACAACAAAAGAAAAAAGCGCATGGGCCAAGTCTGGGGACTCGTCATGACTGGCAGCAATGGCAACTCTCCCCGATGCCCTCCGTCACAGGATGGAATTCACACATTAAGCAGTTCCTGCGGGAGTCTGTGCTCTCTTAGTCTCCCTTCCTAACCGTTGCTAGGGGCGCCTTAGCAGGCGTGTCACACTGGTGAAACCTCTTTCAGCTGAGCCTGCTCTTTCAGGACGGAGGATGCCAAGTCCATCTTGTTGTCCCAGGACCCAACTTTGCACTCACTCCCGAAGACACTTAATTCTGTGAGCAAAGGGTTGCAGATGTCAGATAGGGCCAGACAGTTCAGGATCTGATAAGGGAATGTCTCTGGTTCCGGGTTTAGGGAGTACAAGTGATTGAGTGATGGAAAGGAGAAAGCAAGGGGCCATCTCAGGAAAACAGTGTCACCTTTCCCTTGTTTCAGGCCTCTGGGCCCTGTGCCAGTTCAGAAGCCATCTCAGCAACCAGGAAATGGGTCACCACAAAGGAAGAAAGATATGATCAGCCGAGTAGTTCAACCAGGCGGTTCTGGCCACTTCTACCCTACACAAGCAGTCCTCTGCCCTAAGGTTTGGCTTTTATGACGCAAGGCAAAAGAGTTTATGAAAGAAAAGGCTGGGCAAAGGTGCCCTTAGCTATGCTTAAAAGAATATCTGGAAGCTTGCAGACTTTTCTTGAAAATTACAGTCACATGTACTCATTCTAGGGCTCAGAGAGAGGAAACAAACTCAACTTTCCCCTCAGCAAGCTGCTGTCCTCAAATATACCTACATTAAATCCCATGGAACACTAAGTCCTGACCCTTCCTTGCCCAAGGCCACAGTAGGTGCTGGCGCTCAGACCCTGGGGCCTACTCTGATTGTCCTGGGGAGCTTATATGGAGATTGGCATGAAGCAAAACTGACGTTGTTAATGTAGAAGGAATCTTAGAAAGGGTGGAGAAACTAGGAAGAGGCGTGCAAGAGGGGCGTGCAGAAAAACACGATGATGAAGTGAAAAAGTGGCTTGAAGGGTGTTGGTAAGGGACTCCTCAACCACCAGATTCTTCTCCTGGAAACTGGGAACATTCTGAATCACCTGGAACATGAACGGGAAGGCCTAACAATGCCATGGCATTGCTGAGACTAAAGCAGTCTGGAGTGACAAGCCCCTCTGCTCGAGCAGAACTTCCCCTGGAAGGGCGGGTGACTGGGGGGGGGGGGGCAGACAAACTGTCAAGACACTAGCTTCAGAATTCAGAATGCAGCTGGCTCGCTGTTGCCATGGCTGTTGTTGACACCTGCCCACGACCTATTTCTTGCCCTGTCCTTTGGAGGGGGTGCCGTCTTGGTCCCACCATCACTGAAGTATCGTAAAGAGAATGATACACAAAGCCTCCACGGCAAAGGCAGTCAGCCACGGCCTGGTCCTCCATCCCTTTCCTGGGCCAGACTCACTGCACAAGTCCCAAGACACCACAGCGGAGCGTGAGTAAGGGCAGAATCTGCCCTTGGGTGCACACTCCAGGGCCCTGCACAGCTATGGGAACTGTCTGCAGGCAACATGGGGCGTGTCCGCTCCACATTTCCTAAGCAGCTCACTCAGGAGTTCAACTGGCCCTTCCAGGGGTCAGCTCTCATGCTTCTGGAGCCTGATGCCCTAGTCCAGCCTAGGCACTTAGATTGTAAAAATCATCAGGGGCCACCCAGAACCATGGAGGTTTCTATCTCACAAGCTCCAGCTCTTTTCTGAACACACTTTGGGCTTTACATGCATTTTGATCACAGACACCTTGCAAAATCAAAGGATGTGGAGGAGACAATGTCAAGTCATAGACAGAAAGCTCAAACCCGAAACAAGCAAACAAACAAACAAACAGAAGCCAAAAACAAACAAAAAATCCTCAATTTTTAAAACTCTCTATTTCCAGAATTTGATCACTTGTTTAAGATTTGGAGTCTGGGAAATGTCTCTCTGCGACATATGATTGGGAAAACACGAAGAGCTTCTTTTACTGAAAGGACAAAGCTTGAATCAACCAATAACTGCAGTTGCTGAAGCAGACAGGTATGAAACACGAGGAGAGCGACCTGTGACATGTACAACAGTTTGTCCCGGAGATCTGGTGATTAAAAGGCCTAAGGCAGGTTAAGAGAAAGGCCAGCTACAATTGTAAAGACACTGCAACTTTTGATAGGTTGCTAGCGGGTACCCCCTTGTGAGGGCCTTAAAGCATAAATTTTAAAAGCTTTGGATACCCCAGCAAAGGCAATTAAGACCCATGCTGTTGTTAGACCTTGCAGCTCATTTCATACGGTCTATACCATATCCCTTGCTAACCAATCCAGCTTCTGGCTGGCATTCTGGAGATTCATTAGGCACCATATAAATACTCCAGGCCACACTGCCTCTAATGAAATCTTATAAGGAGCCTTTGCCAATTACTAAGGAACAATTATGCACCAGGTATTTGGATCTGCTGTCCTTAGTTGCCTTTGCAAAGCTGAATAAGTCTCCATTGTGGTAAGAAGACCAAACTCCGATAACATTCTTATGCTACATGGGAGAAAGGCACTATCGCACTACGAATGCAAGCTGACCACAGTTTTAAAGTCAACTGAGTATACTATGTCATGGTCCAAGAATGTGCTCTTAATTGTAATTGACACACACAAATTACACAGTTAATCTGTGTGAATGCAAAGTTGCCAAGAAATTTAACATTTCAGTTCTTCCAGACTGGCGTCTGCCTAGATGCAATCACACGAACTAAAATATTTCAAGTCCCAATTGCTTCGCATTACTTAATGCAATGGGTCTCTGGGGTCGGAAAGGGAAGTCAACTTAGTAAATCTTGTTTTCTTCTGAGTTAAGTGATCGTCAGAAAGTGAATTGCCTTTCCTTCCCCCCTCATTAGGCATGATGCAATGCAAAAAAAATTCCTATAAAAAATAATTTTTTTGAGTCATTAGTGTAAAGTGAAGAAAAGAGGGAGGGGCTGCCTAGATAGGGATGCTGAAATTTAAGAGAGAGAGAGAAAAAAAATCCATTGGATACCTTACGTGTGTTAGTACAGTACTTTTGTTTGTTCAAACAATTCTGTTTTATGACAAAGGCACTGAAGGATTTTGACACCACCTCTTGGGAGTGCGCTCCAGAGTTCCAAACAGCAGACTGTGTAGGCCACAAGATGTTTATGTTAGACCAGCCAAACTATCAAACCCTGCAACACGTCTCCCACCCCAGTGTTTCCAGTGTTTATAGATCACTTGGCTATCTGAAAGACCTAGTTACTATTTAAAATTTAAAAGAGTTTTTAAAAAATTAATCTTTCTCCCTGCGAGTTCTCAACTCACAGCTGAAATCCCACCCACTAGGGGCAAACAGGGGACTTAAGCGGGACCTCAGCGCTCCGAGCTGCGACCTGCTAAAGGGATCAACATTTTGACTTCTTCACAGCTTTGAAAGCCTCTCACTGGCTTCCCATTTTGAATCATTCCATCGTCTGCAGCAGAACCATAGCTTTTATGAGGCTGGGTGTGGTCAGGGGTGCTGGGCCGACAGTGGGGGTGCTAAAGTGTTTCTAGTTCATTCAAACTGAAATTCACCGCATAATTCCCTCCAACATGAGGAAAGCGTAGAAGCCAGCTAGTCTTAGACCACGGTCTCATTGCCTTTCCCTGGCTTCACCCAACTATTCCCCCTCTTCTCTCTCTTTACCTTCCCAGAATTCACCAATCGGTTAGAACATTTTTGCCATGTGTGAAGGGTTTTGGCAGACCAAATCCACATGCCTGAAGTGATGCCCACAAGCAAAGACATAAAAATTTTCAACATTTCAACAGCCATATTAGAGTCATCTGCAGAATACCGAAAGA